TAAATATCGACAAACATCTTGTCGACTTGTAGACTGAGCTAGCTTTAAGCAGTTTATATAACGCTCGCTTGTCTTATTTATCATCGAGTAAATAAACTTACAGCAGAAAACTGGAAGTAATAAAAGAAAAATAAATTACTTCAACATCTTGTGATAAATTGGGATTAAAATATTCAGGTATGAAAAGTCTAATCAATCAGAAATGTACCTGAATTGACCTTAAACAGGTATTATGTAGGAGAACGCTAGATCGGAGACGGTCCTGCGTATTTTATGACGTCTTATGTGGATTGTGAGTTAGGATAAGGGTTGGGGTAAGGGCTAGGACCTGCAGATTTCGTCACAGTCTTGAGAGGGAGACAGGGCTAGCCCTAACCCTAAAACTTGGGCCACACCTAACCCTTACCCTAACCCATAATCCACATATGACGTCATAAAATGTGCAGGACCGTCTCCGATCTAGCGTTCTCCTATTATGTAAGAGCGAAATCTGCAGGTCTTTCTTTGGGCCTTAAATGGGTATTGTTAATTAGACATTATAAATTATTAATTAGACATTTTTTCACTGTTGATGCAATGGCCCGCTAGTGATATTTTCAGCTAGGGACCCCACACAAGCTCAATCCAGCCCTGTCTAGGGTTCTTTTGAATCAGATATATGAAATTACATTTATTTTCTTCTTTAAAAGTTGGCGGGGGAGGGTAGATGGCCGAATGGTTAGCGCGTGCGCATTGTATCATAAGGTCTGTCATTGAGTCAACTGACATGGTTTCGATTCCCCAGTTGTACATGACAAGGAGTAAGGTAGCCTGACCAACCTCGTGTGTTTTCTCCGGGTCCTCCGGTTTCCTCCCACTGCTAAAGACCCCTACGCGCAAGCGAATTATTGAAATAAAATTGAACCATATGTTAGTCCCAAAATGACCTAGTTTGTATTGAGTGGACGTTAAACCCTCTCTCATGTTCCCTTACACTTGCTTTTTTATATTCTGATATTAAATAACAATACACAAGAGACTCTAAGTCATGAAAATACACAATTTAAATATTGACAAAGGTTCATAAAGCTAGAAAAGTGTTCTTGAAGACTTCAGTAAATATACCCGTATTTTATATGTATATTTTTTCATTTTAAACTTTATTGACAAAAGGACATTTTTGCGATGATTGAAACCTTGAACTTAATATCGTGTAACACCTGTCCATGTTTTTACAATATGTTTTCGATTTGAATTTTTCTTCTACTCTTGAGTCAAGGGGTATATAACTCCACGTTCTTTGTAAATTAAGACTGAGTCAATATTATGGTTTAGCATTATGTGCCACACACGGAATTATAATAACAATAGAAATCCTGTAAACATTTTATATTAACGTATATTTGGATAATATCATGGTTACATTTATACATTATATGCTTTGAATTTCTCTTATGGCAGGCCCCTATATCCATTCACTTGATTCACTTTATTTGGATAATATCATAGTTACATTTATACATTATATGCTTTGAATTTCTCTTATGGCAGGCCCCTATATCCATTCACTTGATTTGATATTTGTTTATTTGGTGCAATGTCTATTTTCTGTCTTGTCCGCAGGTTTATCTTGTAGATTTTTGTTTTGTGTGTAGTGCGGTCCTCCTGCACTTACTATTAAAGACACGATACGAAATGAAATAAAATGAAATGGGGTTTAACGTCCTACTGTTCTGCTCTGAACTGGGCTAATGAAGACGAGCATGTGCTATACAGTGTGCTAAAAGGGAAATTTTGCCCCGGCAGCGGCACTATGACCTTCTCTTGAATTCCAACTGTCAAGGGATCTTTTATGTGCACGCCAAAGTGTTTGTGGACAGTCTACAGGTCACAATTTTTATCTGATTTTGACAAAACTTGAAATATAGGTTTATCTCCCAAAGATCTCGACTCCTTTCAATATTGGCATGTATCGGACCATAAATTCCTGGATCATTTTGTACGAAAAATCAGTTTTTCGATTGTGGACCCTCTAGATGTCAAAATTATTATCCAATTTTGATTAAACTTACATTGTATGTTTATAACCCAAAGATCTTGGTTCCTTTCGATATTGGACTGTAACTTCCTAGATTATAACCTCAGATTGTCCCAAAAATTGTTTTTTTGGCTTGTGGACATCTCAGAGGTCACAATTTTTGTATGCAATAGCGCTTTTTTAGCTTGTTCTCTGTCCACCTCTTGCAAAATGTGGGCGTATCTTGCATGGCAACCGCTTGTTTAAATTAAATAATGAATATTTTATAAACAGACTCTCATGTGTTTCTCATTAAAGGGACCTGAATTGCTCGGTAGTTGAATTGTAGAATTTTATTTATTTGTAATCAGGAATTGTTCTACAAATCTTGGAAGTAGGATTGAGGCGGCTAATTTAGATAACTCCACTGCATTAGGAAAACAGGAAATTGGTCAATAAAGATACCAGGGGGAATCAAATATATGTTTAAAGGAGCTTAACCTCCATTATCTATACCAAAATAAAGTACAGTAGAATCTGTATTAAGCACTAATTTCTTTCACATTTATTCAATATCAAATCTTTGTTTAAAAACTCGTAAAAATCATTCAAAATCACCAAAAATCATCTCAAATTAGTGCTGAATACATACAATTAAATGATTCCCAGTTTACAGTGCAAAGTGTTCAAATTTACATCGACTCAAATATGGAAATTGTAGTGGTCACATCAAAAGCTGATTTTACTATTATTTAAATATCGGAAAAATAGACCCAGATGTCAAGTCCAAATATTTAGAATTTTCAGCTCTATATATACTTTCCAACAAGCAGCTGATAAAACTAATGAATTGCCGTCCGTCCGTAAGATTCAGAAATGGTTGAAACAACATCATCAAGGCAGTATATCATCATTGATTTTTATCGCAGGAATTTATCAAGTTAGCCAGATTAAATCTTTTATGATGAATTCTGTAATGTTACGGGTCACAAATAGCAGCCATTTATGTCCTTTTAAAGTCATTATTGCGGCATGAAATGTTGTTAATGATGGGTGATGTGTTTTCTGTCAGTCCGCGTAAATATTTACGGAGAACCCTCATTTCAAGATGGCCGTATAATAAGTTGATGATTGGTCTAATCTCACTTTGAAGACGTTCATTTTGGTACGTTCACATTTTTCATAAAGGGCACTTGAATTGAGTGATTAGGTGATAGGATTAGGTTTAATAGCTCTGAGATGTTAATTAAAGATGTTCCAACTCAAAGACATTCTGTAATGTCTTATTACGATTATTTGAACCTAAAAATATCTTTTAATCCACTCATTATTTTTTGTATTGAAAATCAATCGATCATTCATTCCTATTACGAATATGTGAACCTAAAAATTTCCTTTAATAGACATTTAAAAATGTTCTTATTAATTTTGTCATTCATTCATTTCATTCATTCATTTCATTCATTCATTTCATTCATTAATTCTTTCATTCATTTCAAATTCCAGTTATATATATTATTTGATTCTCTAACATCACCATTATGTGAACCTAAAAATTTCCTTTAAAAATGTTCTCATTCATTCATTCATTCATTCATTCATTTCAATCATTTCATTCATTCATTCATTGCAAATTTCAGTTATATATATTTATTTGATTCTGTAACATTCAGAAAAACTGATTTATTTCATGCAAAAGGTTTCAGTTCTTGAATAATTTGTGATCCCCAGATTTCAGAAATCCTGCAGATGCCACCATTCAAGACAGTATCTTAAAGATACCTGACTCAATTTTCCTATTTTCGTTCCTATATTTGGCTTTAAGCCACCATATTTGACTTTCAACATTCATCCAATATTTTCCATTTAAGATTCCAATCTTTGTTTTCAAAATATCATGGATTTATTGATTAAGTCTGGTTCCATTTTTCTTTCTATGCATCATTCTTCCCTGTCTTCAGATTTTGTAGAGAGGGGCTGGACGTCCACAGATTATTTTGGGATTAACATATGGTTCAGTTTTATTTTAATAATGCGCTTGCACATAAGGGTCTTTAGCAGTGGGAGGAAACCAGAGGACCCAAAGGAAACTCACGGAGTTGGACAGACGACCCTACTCCTTGTCACGTACTAGCAGAGAATCTAAACCATGCCACTTGACTCAATGACAGATCTTATGATCTAAAGTGCATGTGTTAAACTGTTCGACCCCGCCCCCCAAGATTTGGTAGATTTGTAATAAACCTATTTGGTAGACTTATGATTTAAAGTGCATGTGTTAAACCAATCGACCCCCCCCCCCCCTCCCCACAGAATTGGTAGACTTTTGATAAACCTAATTGGTATAGACTTATGATTTAAAGTGCATGTGTTAAAACCATTCAACCACCCAGATTTAATAGAGTTTTAATAACACACTAACACTATTTATAGATTAACAATTACTGGTTTATTAACATGCAACATCTCGACGATGATACGAGATATGTTTCATGTTAATAAACCAGTAATTGTTAATCTATAAATAGTGTTAGTGTGTTACTGTTCAATTAATAAATGCCACTTAAAGAAGATCAGATTTTTAATAAACCTATTTGGTAGACTTTAATAAACACATATTTGCAAGTAGTTTAATTGTAATATTTTAGCCTGGAGGTCGTGTTCGATCCCTGCATTGGCCGAGAAAGTTCATCCAGATTTTCCGGTGTGGTTTCCCCTTGTCAGTGATGCAGGATGTGGTGCCTGACAAGGATAGCTGTCTAGTCGTTCAGATGGGACAAAAAACCAAGGTCCTGTGTACACATTGGCGTGCATGTAAAAGATCCCTTGGCAGTTTGAATTTGATATAAGAGTAGGCCGTAGCGCAACTGCCCTAGCAAAATTTCCCTCATAGCACACTGTATGGCGTATTCCCGTCTTCATTAGCCCAGGTTAGGAGCAAAACAGTAGGACGTTAAACCCCATTTCATTTCATTTGTAATATTTTGTATGTTTTTTTTTTCAGGATGTGAGATTTAACGCTCAGGTTGATTTAAAGATGGGTTATAAAACACGAAGTATATTAAGTATGCCGTTAAAAGATCGGGATGGTGTTGTGATAGGTGTTGCCCAGGCGATCAATAAAATCAGTCCAGCTCATGAACCTTTTGATGAACATGATGAAAAGGTATATCATTTTATAGTTTTAAATTTGGGAAGCCCTGAGAGAGAGAGAGCGCGAAGAGAGAGAAGAGAGAGAGAGAGACTCGCATGTGGATGATATTAGGATTCTAATTGTGTCTAGATGTAAAAGTCTACTGTATTTGATTAGGAGTTGGGCCCCTTGATTAAGATGGACGAACACATGCTGTTAAATTTAACATATTAGAGAGAGAGAGTGTTTAAAGTCCACTTGACGCAAAATAAGGTCATTTTGGGACTAACATATGATTCAATTTTATTTGGACTGTCATCAGCTAGTTCAGAAATGAAACTGTCGGCCAATTTGGAAGCCAGTTGAGCTAAATCAATTGTTTAAGTAAATTTGAAGAAATCATTAGTGATAATTCAATCTGATTAAAACAGTTGTTATATAACCAGCGTTCTAGATGATGTGAGGGATTATAGCCAATGAAACGATTTGTTGCTGCGAGTAACCCTCTAGAAACATCAACGCTGATTGGTTAATCAAATGTCTGATGTCATAGGGTCAAAAGTCACTTGTATGACCTCAGATGTAACCTCCCACTATGTTTTTTATCATACCGACTTTAGTAATGATGATTAAGGCTAGGCCTAAAATTCAAACACAAATATCTCGGTTCAGATTCCAGCAATTTGACAGACATTTTCAGCATATTCCCTTTACATTATCTAGTTTTTAACTATTATAACGAGAACTGCCAGCTCTTTATCTAATCTAACATAATCCATCTTTAATATACAATCCTAATTATAATCTTTTCTTTAAAAAACGAAAATAGATTCTTGTTCTGATATGAGGGAGGTTTTTTTTCTATTTTTTGTTAAAGGATTACTGCTGACTGGTCTAAATGACAAACATGACATTTCGATTTACAGCATTTATCTCATCATGTTGGTAATAATAATAATAATGCACTTTATAATCCTTCCATTTACACATGCTCAAAGCGCTACTATTAAAGATGGGTTCCCGCGTTCAAACTGGGTGATTTAATGGTATATATGGACTAAAAACATATTCAAACTTATTAATTTGTCATAACTTTGCTTCAAATCCTTCTCAAACATTGTAATTGCGAAGGAATGTCCTGCTATAAAACTTCGATCAAACCAGGTCATGTTTACGTCACATGACTTACCTCTCTTGGAAGTCAGAGGAGAATTCATTGCATACATAAGTCGATGTTGTCTTTAATCGCTTACTATTTATTACAAATATCAAATCCTAATTAAATTCTCGGATTATCCACTACCCACGTCTTTTTCCGTCATTTTTATCTCAGAAAGTGTTGTATGTCTAACTCTTCAGAAAGTTTATCAACTTGTACATCAAGCATTCAATGTTCGCGTGTGACCTGTGACATCATGCGTGCAAAAATTCCTAATCGTCGGGCTGTTGAGTAGGGGAACCCTTACATTTTTGTCCTGTATACGCTCCATGAGTGTTTTTCGGGGAATCCAGTATTTTTCTAGTAAGATTGGATATCTCTACTTTCCATATATACCAAAATTACCACACTTTTATTGGAAATAACCACCCGATAAATACTTTTCTGGGAACCCATCTTTAATCCTCTTGTCAATTTAAAGCACATATAACAAAATCTGTTTCTAATCTGGATAATAGAGTTTAAACAATAATGAGGCTTTAGTTGTGACTTAAAGATTGAGATTTTCTAATGTGTACTGGCAACTGATGCCAAAGGCTTAGTGCAGCAGCACTGAAAATTTTATCACTAAATTGTTTTAGTGTCGTTTTAGGAACAGCAAGTATATTTTTGTTATACAAGTTTAGAGTATGTTTAGGTTTATAGTTTGTCCAAATTTCAAACAAATATAAGGGAGCAAGATCATCTTGACATTGAAGATCATCTTGACATTGATGATCACCAATCATCTTGACATTGATGATCATCAATCATCTTGACATTGATGATCATCTTGACATTGATGATCATCTTGACATTGGTGATTGTCTTGACATTGATGATCATCTTGACATTGATGATCATCTTGACATTGATGATCATCTTGACATTGATGATCATCTTGACATTGATGATCATCAATCATCTTGACATTGATGATCGTCTTGACATTGGTGATCATCTTGACATTGATGATCATCAATCATCTTGACATTGATGATCATCTTGACATTGATGATCATCTTGACATTGATATACTAATGACAGAACTCTATATTGAATCCAAGGTTCGACAGGCAACCAGTGAAGAGACTTTAACACCGATAATATGGATAAATATTTTGAAGTTCTTGTTACAATCCTGGCAGCAATGTTTTCGACTCTTTGTAATTTGTATGTTATATGTTTGGGTGAGTCCGAAAAGCAGACTGTTTGCATAATAGATACAGGACAAAATTAGCAGCATCTGTCGTATTGAGGTGGCGAATGTCACTGAAGCAACGTATATGATAGAAACATACGGCACAATTCATCAACGTGTGTCCATTGTAAGTGTTGACTCAAGGAAAACACTAGGGGTTTCAGGCTGACAGAGAAGTCTATGATTGTGTCTCCGATTGTTGTAGTCTTTTCTGTTATTTTCGGTAGTCTATTAGAGGTCCCGACTAACATAGCAGCAGAACTTGTTACATCATTCAGGGGGGTTGGTGGCAGAATGGTTAGCGCATGAGCGTTGTTATTGAGTAAACTGGCATGGTTTCAATTCCCCGGTCGTACGTGACATGGAGTAGAGTTGCCTGTCCAACCTCAGGTTTCCCCCCACGGCTAAAGACTCCTACGCGAAAGCGAATTATTGAAATAAAATTGAAGCAAAATGTCTAGTCGTTCAGGTGGGATTAAAAACTGAGGTCCCATGTTAGATTGGCGTGCATGTAAAAGATCCCTTGGCAGTTGGAATTCGATATAAGAGTAGGCCATAGTGCCATTATCTGGGCAAAATTGCCCTCATAGCACACTATATGGCGTATGCCCGTCTTCATTATCCCAGTCAGAGCAGAACAGTAGGATGTTAAACCCCATTTCAATGATGATCCAATTTGCCACAATTCATCCCTGCCCCCACCTCAAAACTTCCCACCCTCTTTGCTGGTCTGGCTAATGCTACGATACAGTAGTAGACATAAGTTATTTCAAGGTTGTCAACGATGGCAAAACAGAAATAATAAATGTCGGCAGCAGGCAGCAACTACTAAAACCTAAAACAGAAAATTATCAAATTGGCAATATCGCTATTACACTAACAGATTCTGTAAAAAATCTTGGTGTTGATTTTGACTCTAATCTGGAGATGAATAAACAATTTTCGGCCATGTGTAAAAGTATTAATTTTCAGATTTATAATATTGGAAATATTAGATCATTCATTGATAGTGACATGACTAAAATGCTGTTAAACACTATGGTTACATCAAGACTTGACAATTCACTTTTGTACAATCTACCAGAAAATAAAATTAAATGACTTCAGAAACTTTAAAATAAAGCAGCCCGGATCATAACCAAGACTTAACCAAATGAACATTCTGAAAGATCTCCATTAGCTTCCAGTCCGTCAACCTTAGAGGCCTTCTCAACACCAATAAACCTTGCAGAACCCTTCCATCACAAAATCAGACAACCTCTTAATTAATCCTTTTTCAAAAACCAACTCCGGTGATAGATCTTTCGCAGTCGGTGCTCCGATGTTACGGAATTCAATATCTAACGAAACCAAAAGCGCAAATTCTATGAAAGGTTTTAAAATGTATCTCAAAACCGAATATTTTAATCAAATATACAACTGATTGAATATGGTTCTAGCTGTGTTTGCATCAGAATTTTACCATGTGTACTAAATAATCTTCTCAGTTTATGTCTTTTTTATGTTCGATCCCTGCATTGGCAGAGAAAGTTCATCCAGATTTTCCAGCGTGGTTCTCCCTTGTCAGTGATGCAGGACGGAGGGGCTGACAAGGAAAGCTGTCTAGTCGTTCGGATAGGACAAAAAACCGAGGTCCCGTGTACACATTGGCGTGCACGTAAAAGATCCCTTGGCAGTTGGAATTCGATATAAGAGTAGGCCGTAGTGCCGCTGTCCGGGCAAAATTTCCCTCATAGCACACTGTATGGCGTATGCCCGTCTTCATTAGCCCAGGTTAGGAGCAGAACAGTAGGACGTTAAACTATATTTCATTTCATTTCATTTCATTTATGTCTTTTTTATAGATTAATGTGTTGTAATTTTATATTAGTTGTACTTATGTAAAGCGCCCGAGAGCAGCTCGCTCAGTTTAATTGTCAGTGCGATATAAATTAATTATTATTTTTATTATTATTATTATTAAACAAGTTTTATGACAGATTCCTGAAAGGAATTCTGTTGCATTATCGGCGCTATATCAATTAATTATTATTATTTTTATTATTATTAAACAAGTTTTATGACAGATTCCTGGAAGGGGTGACCTTTTATTTCTGTCTGCTGGAATTCTGTAATAATCCACCTGTGACGCCAAATTGATATGCATTGTGCAATAATTTCACGGCTCTCGGGCATCAAGACAGAAATTTTGGACCATTTTCTCTATTGTCTTGCCTTTTAACTCAGTTAGATACAGAAATGATAGCCTTGTACACATGAACAGAAGCACAATTGGTAGGAAACATTTTTAAAATGGCTCCTTATATCATGTAACCATGACAGCTGCAGCCATTAAATAGCATCTTTTCAAAGCGCCATAACCGCAGGTTATGTTTGAAAGGATAGAGTCTTCCTCAATAGACTCAATTATCCAGTAATTATGATACATACCACGCAGTGCCTACTTTTACAACAGGCCATAATAACTGACTTTAAGATGTTGAAAAAAGAAACATTTTCTGACTTCACCGACAAATCACAATGATTGTTGAAACAAGATGGGAGAAATACCAATCACATATGGGTTCTGGGGCAAAATGTATTTTTTTTTCAATCCTCTGAAAACAGAATTGATCTAAATTCCTTCCTGCAAGA